ACGATAGATAGAATAGTGTGGCTTTATAAAAGATGGCAGCCGTTATACTACGTTATTCAGACAACCGTGTCTCCGAGAGTGGAGTTTGTTCAAGGCATACCATCCAATCTGGATGACGATGACTACTTTGATCCTAAAATCAACAATATGATCGTTCTGGATGACTTGTACAGTGAAACTGGTAAGGATAAAAGAATCACTGACTTGTTCACTGAGGGATCTCATCACAGGTGTCTCTCAGTAATTTCCATCAACCAAAATTTGTTTGGAAATAAGGACCCTACACAGAGAAGAAACTGTCAATACATAGTATTGTTTGATAATCCTATAGACCGTCAACCGCTAATGACATTAGCTCGGCAGATGTACCAAGGTAATACGGACACATTCCAGAAAGCATTCACAAAAGCGACAAAAAATCCTTACGGGTATTTGCTTGTGGACTTGAAACCGTTTACGTCGCAAAATGCAAGATTGAAATATGACATAGATTGGACAGACACAAGGATGTCGAACAATCAAAAGCCAGAACACAGGACAGAATCTATAAAAGACCACAACACTGTGAGCACTGGTCATATGTCAGTTGGAATTCAAACCGTCAACGTCAGAGAAGAGGAAAATACGATGGGGGATAAAACGCAAGCTTGTGATGAGTGTGGATTGTTATTTGATACAGCTCACGATGTTCAAACACACGTTAAACGCGGGTGGTGTTCAGAAAATAATGAACCACCAGCTAAAAAACAGAAAATAGAGGATGAAAGTGTAATGGACGAAGGTGTAGAAGATAATGATGGGTATAAACATATCTGGAATCTGGCGGAAAGCTGGAGCAAAGACAAGTTCAACAAGATATATGAACAATACATTACCAAAGGAGAAAACGAAGATGACACAGATGAGATGGCAGAGGAACGTACCCGTCAATACAAAAAGAAAAACTTTTTTGACAGATACAAAGCTTTACTTGAAGTGTATTGGTTTCCCCTCTTGAGTAATGCTACACACCGTGCCATAGTCGAACAAATAAATGACTTCCGCAGTAAAGGACTCAGTTTAACATCTGCTGTTAAAAGAGTCTTGAACAAAAATAGAAATGTCTTTGAGGACTTATTTAAGACGGAATAATCTGACAACGAAGGCGAAGAAATCACAAGCGATTAGGACTCCGAATAAAAGTAGTTAGGACAGAAGGGGTCAGTCATTTGAGGACTGAACATTGAACTGTAAAGACCATGGCACTGTGGGAGGAATATTTAAAGAAACTTTATTACGATCCGTCACACCCGGAAGTTTCAGCGGACCACAAAAGTTATACAAAGTGGTAAAAAATGAAGGAGAATATGACATTGGAATGCATAGAATCCGTAAATTCTTGCACAATCAAGAAACATACAGTTTATTTAAACCCGTGAGAAGACGATTTACGAGAAACCACGTCGTAAGTGCTGGAATAGATGATCTCTGGATGGCTGATCTGATAGATATGACAAAATATGAAAAATGGAATGAAGGAGCACGATATATTCTCCTTGTGATTGACACGTTCAGCAAAATGGTCTGGCTGAGAAGCCTAAAGAAAAAAACTGGAGATGATGTCACTGAGGCATTCAAAGACATATTTTTGAAATCTGGTCGAATTCCCAAACGACTCACCACGGATAAAGGTACTTTGATTTTGTAGTTTTATTAAACTTAACATTAAGTAACGCCTTTTTTATTGTCAAAAGAATTGCCAAAAATTCAGAGCTAAACAGGTACAAGCTTTGATAAAGAAACATAAAATCATCTATACTCCTACACAGAACAAGACAAAAGCCAGAACGTCAAAAAGAGCTATAAAAACTCTTAAGATGCGGATCATACGTTATCTCACCTACAAAGATGACTATACTTATTTACCAGTGTTACAAAAGATAGCAGACAGCTAAAATAAAACTTATCACAGAACAATCAGAACAGCTCCTGTAGATGTGAATGAAGACAATGAAGAAGTAGTCCGATTATCTACATACATGACACAAGAACGCTGAAGTGCAAACCAAACTAAGACCTTACAAATTTAAAGTAGGTGACCACGTAAGAATTACGTATTTGAGAAACATATTCACTCGCGAATATGACGAAACGTATACGGGAGAAGTGTTTAATATATAGAGGCACGTTACCTGTGTACAGACTACAAGACCTGGCAGGAGAAGACTGTTCTGGAACATTTTACGAGAGTGAATTGCAGAAAATAGATTATGATCAAACCAGGAATTTAAGATTGAAAACAGTTTGAAGAAAAAGGGCAAAGGAAAAAATAAACAGTATCTTGTAAAGTGGAAGCATTGGCCGAGAAAGTTCAACTCGTGGATAGACGCTGCCTTTTTAAAATAATGTTTTCAAATTTTGTGTATTGTACAGACATCAATTCCCTTTGTATATATGTATTTTTTGAACATTTGTATGTAAATAAAAGGCTGTAAACACAAATCGTGTTTTGTTTTTAAATCATTGCAACAAATGAAAAGGTGTTAAATGCATATATATACCATACTCAATTTTAAGATTTATATATATATCAAGAAAGGCTAATCAACACAACTAATAAAATAAACTATTTGATTTGTCTCCCCTAGAATAATTATGGTAAGGTTAACTGTCCTTTACCTTTATGCTTCTATAAACGATGAACTACATGTACATTTTGTGGTTAAAACCAGCAAGCGTAAATTTGTTAGTGATCAACAAGGTTAAGCTGTCAAGTTCGATATTGTGATGTAGTGAAATAGTCAAACTCCATAATGATATCATTTATAAAACTCAAACTACAGGATATGAGTGGACTTTTTTCACTGGAATTTAGTTAAAACAACGTTAAAATTATTGATTTCTAGTCGTCTGGATAAATGCTTGAGAACCAAACATGCCAAAGAAATGGATTATGTTTGGTAAAAAGAGTAACTGCGCCTTGTCATGTTGCAAATTATATTTTCTATCTGGAATTCTGTTGAAATAACCAAGAATTTCAGTTTTTCAGTTTCAAATTATGATAGGGCGCTTGAATTCTACATAGTTTTGAATAAAATCTAAACGCATGGAAAAAAATATCTGTCTATTTTCGCTGATGTCAAGCCCCTTTTAGGGCGTAGTTGTTTAAAATATTTTGCACAGGTGAGAAAATCTTTGTATAACTTTTGATTGCTTAAGACTACCGCATAACGAAAATGGGCTAGAGCAGCGTCGTAATTTCAACATATTTTTAATACAACTAATAGTTTGCAGCTCATTTTGATTTTCGTCTATATATTTAACATTTTGGGGAACACTGAATTCATAAATTTTTAAAACTTTACCTCAAACGTAAATATATATCGTTCTGTTGTGGAGATTAAAATACGTCTACTATATTAGGTGGTTTACCTGTATACTGAAACTTGTACCATTGTATATAGAATGACAGCATAGCAATTGATTTGATTAAATGTTTATGTATAACGTGTTAACATTGGTTAAAGGCATCATAACAATTGATTTGATTAAAACCCGAATCAACAAGTTGAAACCTGTCCGTGCAGGTTTATAGGTCCTAATTATAAACACGTATTGCAAATTAAGGTTAATTTTGTCGTCTGCTAGAAAATCGATTTAAACTTCGCCGATAAAGTCACGCCCGAATGAGTCTGAAAATTTACTCCCAAAACAAAATGGCTGATTTATATAGATAAAGAAGGAAAAAAAGGTCATCGGTTAACTACTTCTAGCCTAGAAGTGGGACTATTAATATCATTCAAGTTTTTAAACAATACCGTAAAATTCAGACGCCTGATGGAGGACAGCTCTCCCTATTTTATAAATAAATAATACTCAAGCTAACAAGAGCTGTCAGCAGGACAGCACGCTCGACTATTCTAAGTACTTTAAAGTGCTTGATAATAAAAGAGCCTTGATAATGTAAAATTTTCTAAGTTCACATAAGGACTATGTCTGTTACAAATCAATGTTATATGCCTTGGAGAAATGTATAAAATTTCAACTTTTTTCAAAGCAAGATGTCAATTAAATATAAAAATATCTGAGTTGGTACGCAAATTATCGTAAATTCTAAGTCGAAAAAGGGCCATAATTCTGTCAAAATGCTTGATACAGTTACCTCCTCCTATCGACAGGTTTAAGTCATGATGGTTAACAAGTTTTAAAGCCATATGACAATGGACTTTGAAAATATTTGAGATATTACAAAGACTTTCACATAAGTGGTTACGCCGACGCCGACAACAACGCCGACGTCGACGCTCGGGTGACTAGTATAACTCTACTTATTCTCATCGAATAGTCGAGCTAAAAATGGGTTTAATATAGCAAATTTTCTATACTAAGAGATCAATTTTCTTTATTCAAATGACTCATAAATGAGGCCATATTGAAAAAACAACGTGTCATATGCAGAGTGTATATACAAAGTATGTGATAAAAATAGCAATAGAAATGTAAACATTAAGTACTTTTTAAAGGTGATAACGCTATCTAACTGATAAGTTAAACGTAATTGGACATCATCATGACACGTGATAATATAATTTTGCGGAAATTATAGCTTATATTTTTATGTAAGTCACAACGTACCTGTAAGACAATTAACAATTGAAATGTAAATAAGAATTTTTTCAAGGGTGATAAACCTATCTAAATGTTAAATACAATATAAAGGGACTTCATGACAAGTGATAAGAAAATAGAGGAAATACAGATTTGCCCGAAGTTTGTTATAATTGAATACAATATTTGTGTCACTGTGTAATTTGCACGGTGCACCATTTCTTTATCAATTCGTGTTATCATCGCAGTAATCGATCATAATCAAATTTGTGCGTGGGAAAAGTTACTAATGGATCAGGTGACCCAGTCTTATTTACACGACTGTATGTTTCAACACTTAATATCAGTTCTTGTTCGTTTATGAATTACCAAAGTAATTAAACCAAACTTTAAGTAACCAATGTACTACTTACGGTTTGGAAATCTTTGAAAACCCGCCATCTTGTTACCGACCGGTGGTCGTGAAGAGTCAATCTAGCTTCTTCACCAGATTTGTCTACAATATTAAAATATTGAGACTTTGCAATTAAAAACATACTTCAAAGTTGTGTAGTTAATTCACAATAATAAAACCTGTGAAGTTTTGAACTTAAGTTATGAATTTGCACAGTCTGATTAAAATCAGCTCTAACTAACGCTCCGCTTTTAGATCTAACCGTGACCAAATACAAAATCATTTCTGGTAACCTTCGGCGAGCTTTCATAATTTTTGAAGCGATGTGGTTGCTAATTTTAACCCTTGGAAATTAATACTGAGTAGGTAATTTTCACGATTTGAGAACAAACATGGCGTTGTCTATATAGCCAACAGGTGAACTGGCAAAACAATCTAGCCCATTCAAAATTGACTCTACATTTCAAGTTAATTTGTTAAAAATTACTTCAAACATTTTTTTAAACAAAAATCAACGTCCACGGATAATAGTACTTTGATACTTCTTCTAATGCCTTTGTTAAAACCGGTTTGATTGCATGGTTAAAATAGCTTTCTCGGGAAATCCGAATTATAAAGAAGGCGAAACATATACGGTCGTCATCATATCTACACAAAAGAAATAAGTAGATCTGAACTTTAGTCAGATTGGAATTTGCGTAGATTGTCAACAGGTCTAAAAGTGTAGTTTTTCAACAGAAAATGATACATGTTTAATTTAGTACATCATCTCTTATTTTACGTCGCCTGTTTACAGTAATAGCTCTTGTGAAGTATAATACTTTACTAATTAATTTACTAACTCATTTACAGTTATTATGTATGTCAAGTTTAGAATTCTAACTTTACGTAACTCGTTTATATTGATATTATGTATGTGCAGTTTAAAACTTCACTTTCTTACTTTACGTATGACTCGTTTAAATTGAACAAAATAATAGAAAAAGGTATCACAAGGTGAACTACTATAAATACATTGGGTTATTATACATGAACCCTGTCATAAATTCCTATAGAAAACACTGCTATCGTAAAGTATAAAAATGTTAGTTCGCAGTAACTTACGGAAGAGCATTAGTGCCAGGCTATGTTTTTTATTAACTCGAAATTTCGAGTTACTAGTTTGAAATTTCGACTTGCAAACTCGAAATTTCGAGTAACTTATCTCGAAATTTCGAGTTACTTACTCGAAATTTCGAGTTACTTACTCGAAATTTCGACTTACTTACCCGAAATTTCGACTTATTAACTCGAAATTTTGACTTAGTTACTCGAAATTTCGAGTTAGAAGGTCGAAATTTTGAGTAAGTTAGTCGAAATTTTGAGATAAGTAACTCGAAATTTTGAGTTAGTAACTCGAAACTTCGACTTGTTGACTCGAAATTTCGATTTACATTGTACGACTTACATTGATTGCCGGTGAAAGCAAGGATTGAATTCAAAATACTTTATTACATGTTTAGCTGTTGCACATTGACAGAGCACCTATGTATTTAACAGAACAATTCAATAGGGTCAAATTGTCCACACATTCCGAAATTATCCTTCCCATTTTCTTGATTGCTTTTTTTGTGCCGGGGGGGGGGGGTGTAAAATCACACTTTTCACATTTCTGTGTTAACCGAGTGTTTCTTGTGTCTAAAGCACACATACAACCATCATGTGGAGATACAACAAGTCCAAAACCCACCGTATTGTAAACTGTGCAATATTTATGTGTTAACTAAGTTTTAAGTGGCGTGTATACGCCAGTAAGTCTGTCACGTTTCTTTATACTAATAATGTTTTTGTAACATTTTTAATAGATGTTTGTCAATATTCTATATTCATTTATTTACTAAGACTTTGATTCATATTGTGTTGATAAAAGTTGATAAAAGTGGAACTTGTTGTTATATACATGTTGGGAATAATATTTAAGCATCCGATTTTACAAGAAATATAGTCAGTCCAACAAATTTGACAAAGGCCTCAGCACGCCCTATTTTGGCCACTCCGCAGTACTTTCCCACACGTGAAGTATAGGATCAATTTATTCGCAGGGATGAGAAGAATATGATTAGTGAAAAGATATGTTCGAACAGGTGGGATACAATACAACGTCTGAAGAACGCCTGAACTACAAATTAAAGGAAGATTTGTGTTGTTTTAGGTCGGGCGTGTACATGCCATTGTCAAAAGTGACCACACTTAAAAGTTTAAGATTAACTTTAATTGTTTGTCCAGGCATCCGTTTCTCCATCTCTATCGTTCAACCGCACTCATTTCTATATCTGATATTATCTAAACTCTTGGTAACTCATAACTTTGGCCATTCTAATAATGTAACTAAGTCGAAATTTCGAGTTAATTTGTCGAAATTTCGAGTTATTAAGTCGAAATTTCGAGTTACTCAGTCGAAATTTCGAGTAAATAAAAACATATACTTGGCACTAATGCTCTTCCGTAGTAACCTGTTATTATATATTCGTTCTTCTTTCAGTGTTTAACTAAAAGGTTTTTTTTTTCAAAACAAACATTGTAACTACGATGACATCACTCCATTGTTCTTTTTGTGTGTTTTTTTTTTATTTTGCTATAGTTCAAGTTAAGTATTATCGTAATTATAGTTTATTACAAGGTATTGTGCTGTGCAATAAATGGTAACTATTCATAACCTCGTTAGATAAAAAAGAATGACGAAAATTCATACAGTTTTTGGTTGTATATGTACTTTTAAACCAAAATAACGGTTAGACAAAAGATAAATAATACGAAAACTGTTACAGCCATAATCCGAATGTTCCTATTCTCTTATTATTGTTATTATCATTATTATTATTACTATTATTATTATTATTATCATTATTATCATTATTATTATTATTATCATTTTTATTATTATTATTATTATTATTATTGTTATTCCCGACTTAATAGAACCACCGATCCTTCATAAGCTAAATTGAGACCAAACAGTAAATAACCCTACAGTTTCTGGCGAAATTCGAAGCCAACACAGTTAAGGACAAGTGGACTGAAGCCAAGAACCTTAACCACTCGGCCACTGGGTCCCCATTTAAAATATCAAACACAATGTGTCGCTAGAGGTGGCGTATGCCTCCGAAAACTATACTTTACATGTACAACGAGATTTGTGTTAGATTCCGAATGGTGACATTTGTGATAATTATATTAAGGCTGCACACTTCCAGATTAATGCTTATTTTCATGAAAAATTTATTAATTAAATCAAATGTATGATATTGTATAGTAAACTAAAGAAAGCAATTAACACATTATCAATGACACAACCAACGTTAATTACAAAAAAGGTTAAAACATGCAAAATATGCCTTACTGTTTTAGTAACGCAGTAGAAATATTGTTACACATATTAATGAAAAATTCACCATTAATCGCTCATAAAATGCAAATTATTACCTGGATCTTGAATCTTTCTTCTTTTCCTAAAATCTATTTTACATTTTTCACAAGTTTTATTTATTGAAATATTTAACTCATTTGAAGGCATGCTGCTTTAAAAATACTTTGAGGGATGGCACAGTTACATGTATGAATAGACACCATTTTCATGATGATCTTGATCTTGGATCTTCGTTCTCTGCGCGTGACACATTTCCAGAGGTTGAACATTTGTGCCAAATATTTTCAAAATTCTCCTCAGGAATAACAAGTTTATGTATAGGTATCTATATATGTATGGAGGGCGTTCGTTGCCAAAATTCAAGACATGTAAAGTGTTCCTTTTAAAATGCGAACATGTATGCCTGTCGTTTTTTATTGTATCCGTGCATAGCACATAATAAATTATGCCTCTTAATCCAATCTTCCAACCTTTATATAACAAGTTTACATATAGATCGTAACAAATTACCTAAACACGTTTCCTAAAACTCTATTTTCTGTATTTAAGTTTTACATTTCATTTGTATATATCTTGTATATCTCAGGTACAGATAGATTTCTATAAGGGCAAACTTGCTTATGTATAATATGCAATGAAAGATACGAGCCTGTAAATTTGTAGTTGTTTTCCATGTTAAGTCAGTTGTTAAGATCCACATGAAAACTTGTTATTTAAAGACGGTGCCATCAATTAAAAGATTGGATTAAGAGGCATATTACTTGCAATGCACGAATATAATAGAAATGCTAGACATATATTGGTATATTTACGAATGTGGTGATTATCTTTGCTAAGCATGTTAAAACTCATTTTGTAATGATTACAAATATGAATTACGTATAGTAATTACGTCTATCATTTGTTTGTAATGGTTGTAAATATCCGCTTCTTAAACCTTATACGATTACAGGATGTATGAATATGTTTGAAACAATGTTAATATCATATAAAATTGTTATATATGTAACTGTAATGTCTGTAAATATGTCACGATTATATTATATTTGTACATATGATATGCTCTTCTAAATGGAGGAAATAAAGAATATCTATCTATCTACCAAATTAAACATCAAATATTTGTAAATAGCATTGTGAAATATTATAATATTTAACATGATACGATTTAATAACTTTTTTCTCTGTAAAATCAATTTCTATTTTGCCATTGAACAATGCATGAATTAAAAAAAGCTCATGAAACTCGGACCTATTTTCAAATATGAGCAGTAGATTTTTACCCTAACACAGGGAATTAAAAATTCATAATTTCATTGCTAATCTATAAAATTGTTACTTTTTATAGTAAAAAACTGATAATATAATGTAGCCAGGGTTAGTTATTAGTATTTTTTGATTGATTTAACAAAACATTATCTTATAATTTTATTTTGAATGGTGATGTACTATGCCAGATCACGGCTGGTAGATTACCCAATCACGTGACTCAACCTAGAAATCTTTTTTGCGTAAAATTGGTCCGACTCCAGACCATTCTATTTGAAAGACCCTAGATCTTGTGATCATGATAGTGAGCAGGTGTGTGCCAAGTTTTAAGACAATCCATGAAAGAATCAACTTTTTAAATGTTTCATTATTTCACATGGGATTTATTACAGCGCGTAAATCATATATACATTTTATTTAAAGATTTTTTTTACGTAAAGCGAAAAGGCATGAATTCACGCGATTTCATCACTTCATTTAATCACTGTTGTACAGCGTTCACGGGAATAGCCCCTCAAAACATCGAACACGAAAAGTAAAAAGGTGTATGTCGAGTTCACCCGAGGTAATGTTTCAACTTATTTCTCCATCAAATCTTTATTGATTTTTCCAAAATGAAGCTGAATATATATGGTTTTTTTTCTGCAAATTGAATACTTTTTGTTAAATTGGCGATAAATTGCAGCGTATTTGTTGAATTTTGCCAACGATGTTGTTATTTACCACAGGATCAAGCTAAAAACGCAAAGTATGTTAGATTTCCCGTAAGAAAGCCTCTGGCGAACGGCTGTTACGGAACTTACAAAAGAAAGTGTGTTGATAAACTTAATAATGTATTTATGTATTTGTAAAAAAATCACTATTTATAGTCCGATCGAGAAACTTGATATTCCACCAGAACATTGCAATAGGGAAAATTTATAGTTCTTTGTTGAAAAAATATTAACTGCATTTTATTTCATCCCCATCATATTTAAAATGGGGCTCAATACGGCAACAAAGTTTTTAAGTAAATGACTGACAGAACGGGATTTTTTTCGCAGCATCTTTAAAATTGAGGAATACATCCACAATTTATGTACCAGATTACTTTGTTATATGAACCAATTCTTTAGATATTTTAAGTGGTAAAATTAATGAAACTTTTATCACTTAAGCATCAAACAATGTATCGACCGTCATCTTGAACTCAACCTCAAATATTTCAATGTCGCAGATCACTCAGTATTTAAGCAGAACTTTAAACCTCTGGAACCCAAAATGCGTTGATAAGTAGCATATTAACGCACTTTGGGGTCAATTTCTCGATTTTGACCCCAAAGTGCGTTGGACCCCAAAGTGCCATGCGAAGTGTAACGCATTTTTGGGTCGGACCCCAAAGTGTGTTTGACCCCAAAGTGCGGTGTTACAGAGCATTACCTGACGAACTCGACGAACACCTTTTTACTTTCGTTTTCGATATTTTGAGGGGCTATTTCCGGTGAATGCTGTACAACAGTGTTAACGAAAAGAAAAATTTTCGCAAGTAATAAGGTTACTAATTATCATGATTATCACGTCTGAAAGAATGTAATTTCTAAAAAAGTAGGCCTATTGAAACGACAGTCATTTTTATTTATATGCTGTCCCGCGCAGATCACAGTCACGTGAAATATACACCGTAAGAAATCGATCAATAATCATTACTCAATAAACTGGTACTCAGCCAAGTTTACAGCCGCCCTAGAGTCTTTTAATCAAAAAGGTTTATTTAAATAAATATAAATTTATAGATCTAAATTTGATACAAATTAAAGTATATTTTTATTTAAATTCAATTCTTGATGAGCTTATTCTTACTAAATCAATTTTAAATGAAAAGATATTTACCTGTAAAATATATGCCACTCCATTAGTAACTCAGTTTTTATCTGTTTATTGTGACATGTCATTGGTAATCAATACGTAAAAATTACTACGCATGCTATTTTCGGAAAGTTCGTGTGTTTATCTTCGACGTAGATTTACAGTTGGCATAAAAAGTAACACCCATTTTTATGGGAAAAAAATGTTTTTAGAAAACTTGTTTTTATAAAGCTGGACTTTAACAATGTAAAAATTGTTTTAATAAATGTTAATCTGCGTATGATATTAACTCATTGTTGATAAACATAAACGAATTATTGATTTTTGTTACTTGTTGTTTACACGATTACCGTGTACTGTATAGCAATCGTGAACTTTAGTCAGATTGATAGGCAATTGTATACTAGAAATAAGGAACAAAGTAAGTGCAATTCCTGTTTAAAATGCAAAGGATATTCTCCACATATGCCATGGTGATTGAAATGTTGCCAAATTCCTAGAGTGGAAAATGCGAACGTGCAAAAATGCTTATGTATTATATGCAGTGAAAGATACGAGCTTGTAAATTGGTTTTTATTATGTTAAGTCAGCTGTTTAGATCTATAATTTTGTAAACTTGTAACCTTCAATTAAAAGATTGGATCGAGAGATATATTATTTGCAGTGTAGGGATACAGTCAAATATGATAAGCATACACGTTCAACAGTTTTCAAAATGGACACATCGCGTCTTGAATTTTCGGAACGATTACCCTCAAAAGTACACTTCCAATTGTATAATATTACAATACCCATGAAAAATATGTCTAATAATACTATAAGCAGAGGACTTTTGTATGCGTTTGTTCATTAAATTAGTTGTTCCGTATATTATTTTCATCTAATATAAATATCAAATCACGTTTTACATACTAACCGCTTTAAGTCATGTCAAAATTACTGTTTTGGGGTGGCATCAAGTTCTTTTAATCATGTTTATTAAAGCTTAAAAGTATGAGAATAGAAAAAGAATATTTACCATAGAATTCGCATTTACCAATAATAACACCTCGGTTTAACCGAGTATTTTAAAGGAAGATATATATCAAAGTGACGCAGTTCAGGACACTCAAGAGATGGTTGTATTATTTTGCTTGTATACGAAGGTTCTTTTGTTAGAACCGGATGCACCATTATGTAAGACCATCAATTAATGCGTAAAATGCAGAAATGTTCCACCTTATTACTTAAATTCTCATTTGCATCATTATTTATCAAAATAAACTATTCTAAACTCGTGGTGTATCATTTAGATTATATCAGATTGTTAATGAAGTTGTTGAATACCGATATATAAATTTATTCTTTCGTTTTTGCTCTTTCACCCCCGCAAAATGCGCATGCGCGAAATGCTACTTCCGTTTCTATGGAAATATTTTATTGTAAAAAGGTCTATATATTTATTTGAAATCCGTTGGAAAATGTTGTGCATTTCGGTATTATTATGGTTGCAAAATAGGTTTGACAACAAATGTCAATTTTAGAATACCCCAATTTCAAAAAAAGCACAAATCCAAAACATCGCAAACATGTGTACGCCAAGTGAAATTGCGGTTTCTAAGAATAAACTTTTAATCCTGTCTTCTATTGAAGACGATTTCAGACGCTTATATCAAAACATCTTAGCCGATATGTCAAAATTAATTAATAATGATAACCTCAATATATGTAACATAGTTTTAATGTTTGCATGCATTTTACACTTAAATTATCGTGTAGAACAAATTATTTCAGTAGATAGACCTGGATGATAAAATTGCAAGCCCGAAGGCAAACGACAAAGATATTTTGATGGATAGTGTCTTAAATCGTATATTCTAACAGTGTATACATGTCTGCAGATAAGGAGCTGACCATAACATGTTCTTCAGTGAAGCCATGTGGTAAAGCCTCCTAGTGTAGTGTAAAGGATATGCTCCAGGGTATATTGACGAAATATGTCTGTCATGACGACCTCTAGTGATAAAAAAGAAATATAATGTACTGCTAATATCACAGCATAGCAAAGTGTTATAACATAACTTATCACAGACCCGTGCCGAATTTGCTACTCCGTATATATGGTATTGCACGGCCGTGCATATATTTTGACGTCACGTTATATACGTTATACAAACATAGTGTAAAGACGCACTAAATGTTAGCGTTACACTACAGGCGCGTGAATGAAAGAAATATTCTTTTGCACTTTAAACACCTTTATTTTGGGTATGTGAAATAGAATATTAGATTTGTGTAGGTATATTACTGAATTTATTGAACGAGTTTAATAAAATAATATTTTGGTCGCCAGAGGCTTGCATAATCTAATTTTATTTAACTCGTTCAATAAATTCAGCATTGAGCCTACACTCATTCAATATCCTCTATATAATTCAATGTTCATTATAATATTAATTAATTGCAATGAAACTCATTCTCTACTACATTAATTTCATTTTACTTGTACTTTAGTCCGCTGACATACTAGTAACATAGTGTCTTCCTAATAATACTGCAATACTGTCGGGAGCCTTATAACATTACTTGATTGATATAATGTATAAGTCTATTTAAAATGGCAACACAATATTCTCCTCCACACATGATGTATCATAATGCTAGAATATACCGACAAAACATGGTTTGACGGATAATGGGTCTGTGTAATTTACAAAATGAACGCAAGCGATTTCTTTCATGAATCCAAATACATTTTGAAAGCTGACATGCCTTTGACACTGATTATCAAACTTACTATTATTATTATCATTATTATTGCTATTATTATTCTTTTATTATTCTTATTATTATTACTTACCAAACTTATACAGCGTCGTTTCATATAGGCAGTGATATCACTAATTATAAACAATATGATTAAATAGCAGGAAAGATTTTAGACAAGAAATGAACTATGAAACACAATGCATTAAACTAGTCGTCTGATGTTAACATATTAAAAACAAAATATCATTCAATAAAAGATAACTTCACAAAACTTCGAACATAATATAATAAACACTCGGCATCTAAGTTGCATTTTTATATTCACTCAGTAGTTTACAACAATTAACAAAGAGATCATATTAAACTTAGTATATGTATAGTGTAGTGAATTTGTGATTAATATCAAGCAATGATAACTCTGTCTCCGTAAAATACAGATTATTCCTGATGGACGCGCTATTTATAAGCGTGTTTGAATTAGTTTGAAAAGAACACAATGTCACATCGGCTGCAGTTTACTAGTTTGTGATTGCTCAGATCATTCTTTTGTACTACAAGAACCAACTGTTATCAGTCAAATGTGGAAAAGGTGATATAATGAGGGAATACGTACTACAATTATCACTGCAGTTATGTAACTTGTTATCATTGTGAACTTTATATAGTTGTGTGTATGATATGAAATCATTGATGCAAGGGAATCCGATTAGCCGAGATCGTTTAACCTGAACAATATATATTAAATGTCTAAAATGGGAAATAACAGGGAGTGGGGGTGGTTGCCACATTTAAGTTATTGACTTTGCTTCGGAGACTACAGTACACTGAACAAAAGTGCTAAGTACTCCGAAAATATAAAAATATCTTGATCAAAAACATACTGGATTGTCAATTTGAAATTTTGATAATCATAAGATGAGAATAATAAGAGCTTACGAGGACATGGTGATTATTAAAATTCGCAAAATTTGAGCGTGGATACGTGACTCACAGTGTGTGCATGAAATCATTTTGGCCGGGATGCACTGATGCAAACCCGGGTTATAGTATCACCGTGTATATCCAGTAACGCAGAAATGTGCAAATAACGCAGGAATTGTCCAAAAGTAGCACAGAATTGTGCAATTTAGTGGACCAATATTGTTATTGTACACAAAATTGGAAGAAATGAATTAGCGCATACGGTTGCTAAGACATTATACTTTAAACCTCATCAAATATAGTTACATGAAAATGTTTATTTTTCCAGATCATTCGTGAAAATGACGACTTGACTAGCGTATTGAAGGCGATTTTTAGTTTCGTTGATATTTTTAAATACAATAACGCAATGTTACTTTATATTTTTTATATTCGGTGTACCCGAGACATTTTCCAATTTACTCGCGTCATATTACACTTGATTTAGCAGATTAAACGTAATTAAAGACTTTTTACGAGGTAACGCCGAATTCGTGAATGAAGCACTGAAGCAACGGCAGTTATCTCATTAAAAGTAGCTAAAAATCTTATTTTACCAGCTTCCTTCTATAATATTGTTATACGACCGTCTTGTAGTTTGACAAATGTCTTAGGTATGCAGAATATGATAAAATAATGTTTTATATGTGTTGAATGTACATATTCATTTGACGAATTACAAAAAAAATACCTTCAAAACGGTAATCAGGTTGTCTTTCTCACGAATGATCTAAACAAGTTAACATATTCCTGAAAAAAAAAACTGGTTAAAGTATAATGTCGTAGCAGTCGTATAATGTCGTAGCAGCCGTATGCGCTAATTCATGTCTTTAAATTGGATTTAGAATAAAATATTTTGGTACGTTTCCTTACTATGTTATTCGTTCTGGCAATAGCGTTGCACAAATTCAGCATTACTTTACGTTATTTGCACATTACTGCGTCACAGGATATGCACGGTGAGTATGGTGAATTTTGGGCGGCGGGCGGGGAAAATATTATCATAACAGTTTTCTCAGCAACTACTTATCACAGCCTCTTGATATTTGGTATACAGCATTAACATGTGGTCTCATACCATATGATGTAAGGTCTATCGCTTATCCACTTCCTGTTTGCAGAATTAGTTAAATTTTCGGCATTACTGGTCAATAGAAAGAAATTTTCGAAACAGTTTTCTCAGCAACTACAGCCTCTTGATATAAGCTATAGAGCATTAATAGTGGTCCCATACCGTGGGATTTGATTTTAAGTCTGTCGCTCATTCACTTCCTGTTTGCCGACTTAGTTTAAGTTTCGACTTTAATGGTCAATGGTAGGAAATTTTCGTAACAGTTTTCTCAGCAACTTCAGCCTCTTGATATTTTGTATACAGCATTAACACATAT